GGGGCCCCCGCTCCCCGGCCAGCGCTGCTGCTGCTTCACCTCTCTGCCGGTCCAGACCTCGATGCCGTGCGCCCCAAAGAAGTCCTGCTGCCTCAAGTAAAGGCTCTCGGGGGCCTTGCCCATCGCCTGGAAGCAGAGCGAAGTCGCGGGGATTGGAGCACGGAGCGCAGCCTGGGCAGGGCTCCCCCTGGCACCTCTCTTGGCAGGCGAGCGAGTGCCCTTCCCCCACCCCGCAGGGAGGGGTACGATCGCTGGCTCCCGTCCAAGCCCCTCCCACCCGCAGGCGCCGCGGGAGGGGCCAGGGCCACGTGGGGAGCAATGTGGCTGCCCTCCGGCCGTGCCGCATGCCTAGCTCTGGATCGCTGGGCTCTGCGGGGCAGCCGGAGCTGTGAGCGGGGTTCCCCGGCTGACGCTTTTACCGGTCCCGGCCATCCCCAAACCTTGCTCAGCTGGGTCCGGTCATACGGGAGGTGCGTCTCCTTGGTTGCCATGATGATCCGGCCGGTGAAGCCTTCCTGGCGAAGTGTTTCGGCACAGACCAGCGCGGCCGCCCCTGCGAGAGAGACGCTGGCACCAGCCGTGCAGCGGGAAGGGCCGAGCCAGGGCCTACGTGACCCATGCACAGGGCCTGAGTCGGCCGAGTCACCCACCTCCTCCCAGGAGCAGCACTGTGTCCTCATAGCCCCTGCACGGCTCGCTCATGGCCTTCCAGATCCTGGCAGAGAGCAGAAAGGTTCGCGTCCTGGCAGCTGGCCCCGGCCCATGCTCCAGGAGCTCGGGGAGAGCGGCGAGGCTGGTACCTGCTTCCTGGCTCCACTCGCACCTGCCGAGACGCAAGGAGAGAGGGGTCAGGGCTGAGCTGGGGCCACGGGGTCCTGGCGTGGGAGGATGCGTGGCCTGGAGGTGCCGGGATGCTGGGGCCAGGTGCTGTAGTGAGAGGAGGGCCTGGACCTGAGGCCTGGCTGGCAATGGTCAATGTGAAGCTTCGCTGGGAGCGAGAGGCAGGCCCGGCTCAGGCCGAGTGTGAAGCACCGATGGGCACTGGGCCCAGGTGCAGAGCTCTCCCTGGGGCGGTAACGCAGAGTTGGGGCTGGGCACGGGCCCGGAGGGTCACAGGGCCCCATTGCACAGGGCCTTGGCCCCACACGCCGGACTAGGAGCAGGGACACACCGGCCCAGTGCAGGAACGGGTGTGAAGGGGCAGCACGTGGGGACACAGACTGAATGTCCAAGCGCCGGGCGATGGTGGGGTCTGGGGAACGGCCACCGGACACGTCAGGCCTGAGGTGTCGGCGTTCGTGCCTGTTGGAGGGGCTGCCTGTCCAGCCAAGGGGCAGTGGGACCCCCCCGACTGGGCTGGTGCCTTGTCAGGGGGCACATCCGGGTAGCGGTTGGGCAGAGTCTACTTGACCATCAACCTGGCTGGGAGCCTTCGATCTGTATTTGATTTTGGGGCCGTGAGGGGCTCACGCCTTGTGCAACGTCCACGCACCGCCCGGAGCGAGCACGCGCAGCGGAGGGGCTCTTGGGGGGCGGGGCTGTGAGGTCGGGCTGCTCTGCGGGGATGGCTCCAGGAGGCTACGGAACTGATCCAGAGAAGCTACCCGAGGCCTTCCGCCTCCGGAGTCTCCCACAGTGCAAGGCAGGGAGACGAGGGCGCGGGATGGTTTCGCATTGTGCTCCTGCAGGCTGAGGAGAGCTCCAGCCTCCCCTGAAGGCAGGTTTGAGCAGGGCACGTGTGGCCAGTTCTAGCCAGCAGGCCCCAGAGCCCGCAGAGCAGAGCGCTCCAGCTGGCAGGCGCCTGGTGACTTAGGCCCCTTTCAGCGCCAAGGCAGCTGTGACGTAGTGGGGTACCTTGCTGGTTGCTATGCTGGGCAGTGGGTTGTGGGTGACCCCCACTGGCTGTTGGCTGCAGCACGGCCCAGCAGGGCAGGGGATGAGTCATTATGCCAGGGGGCTTCGAACCTGTCTGACCAGTGATCTCCCAGGGAGCGGAACAATGGGAAGAAGGGGAGTGGAGCCCTGGCTGGGGGCAGGGCGGGAAGTGAGGGAGGTTTCTGGCTGGGATCATGGAGGAAGCAGCCTAGGCAACGGGCTGGGATTTAGGGGCCCAGGCTCCCCATCTCAAGGGGGCCTGAGGCATCCTAGGCCTGCCCTGGAACGAAGCAATAACCTCCCTCTTTTCTACTGGCTGGGGGAGTCTTTGTGTCACTACGGGGGTGCAGGAGGCGGGGACCCCAACGCGCCGTCACAGCAGCTGAAACGCGGCCGGGCGTGACGCGCGGTCTCCAGCCCACGGCGCTCCAAGGAACCGTGCAAGCTCTTCTCCCTTGCCAAGCGTCGCGGCCAGGGCTCGCACCTTCCGAAAAGGCCCCAGAGTGCCATGAGCCCTGCAGGAACCACTGGGAATTCTGACCTCCCCTGGCGAGGCCTAGGCCCAGGCTGGGGGTGGAAGGGGAGCAGCCAGAGCCGAGCGAGCAGGCTGGGTGTGGGCCGGAAGGACCAGGATCCATTCACCTTAAAGCAGGGCAGGCAGTCCAGAGTCGGGTACTCCTCGATGTCTCCGCTTCGGATACTGAAGCAGGCACCGTGCCAGGGACAGCGCAGCCGGTTGCCTGCCAAGACGCCTGCAAGCCAGACACAAAGAGAAGTGTCTGAGCAGAGCAGCCCGAGCTCTCGGGACGCCTGGGCTCGGGCGAGGTGCCACGGTCACGTCTGCGAGCCGGGCTCAGGGTTCCTGCCCACCTCGCTGGGTGCAAAGCCGGGTAGCCCTCGCCCTGGAGACGGGCTGCTTGGGCTGAGACGGGAGCCCTGCGTATGGCTTGGGAATGCTGGCTGCTCTTTGGGACTCCATGTGTAAGCCAGGGGCCCTGAGCGCACTGGCCAGGGCGAGCGATGCCGGCCATGCAGCCTGAGCCGAGAGCCAGCTGGCTTTTGGCTCATGGCTTTAGCTCCAAAGGTCGCAGGTTCACGCCCACCTGCCGATGTCCAGGGTCCATCTGCCTGAGGCATGTATCTAGACTAAAGAGCAAACTCCATTTGGTCTGCAGGGCTCTGCGGCCTTTTCACCTCCGTGTTGGGCTGAAATGTGCGAAGACGGTGGCCCGGGACTAACACTGGTGAGCTGTTAAACGCTTCTAGTCAGAGGCCCCAGGGTCAGTAAACCTGCACTGCCTAGAAAGTCCAGTTTGTCCCCTTGTCAGCCAGCCTGATCCACCGGTGGGGAGGGGGAGTGCCAGCAGATCGGGGGCTGGCCGCCAGAGGGGACCGAACGTTCTAACAAGGGCAGGGCACAGGAGAGAGACTGGTGTGGAGGAGCAGCCACGTGCAGGGAGGCCTGGAGAGACTCCCACAGCATGCTGGAGAGAGGTGAGGAGCCGGAGGCAGGGGGAGCCATGCTGGTGAAACCTAGGAAAGAGAGAAGTGGGTGTTTGCGCCCGCTGGCACGTCTCCCAAGGGAGAAGCTGTGAATCAGGCCACCAGGTGGGACCTCTGGAAGGAGAAGGGGGATCAGCAGTGACCCTAGGAACATAAGAATTCCCCCAGAGGGAGTGACCAGAACAGGAAATCAAGTGATCCCTCCCCTGTTGCCCATATCCAGCCTCTGACACACACAGGCTACAAGCTCCATTCCTACCCATCCTGGCTAATAGCCACTGATGGACCCTGTTAAAGTCCTGGCCTTCACAACATACTCTGGCGAGGAGTTCCACAGGTTTACTGTGCACTGCATGAAGAAAAACTTCCTTCTGGTTTGTTTTAAACTTGCTACCTATTAATTTCATTTGGTGGTGACTAGTTCTTGTGTTGTGGGAACAAGTCAATAGCTTTTCCTTATTCACTTTTTCCACACCACTCATTTTATAGACCTCTCTCATAGCCCCCCTTAGTCTCTGAAAAATCCTCGTCTTTTAATCTCTCCTCCTATGGCAGCTGTTCCAACCCTCTTATTTTTATTCACCTTTTCTGAACTTTTTCCAATGCCAATATCTCTTTTTTGAGACAATGAGGTGACCACATCTGTCCCCAGTACTGTATTCAAGTTGTGGGCGTAGCATGGTTTTATAGAGGCAATGAGAGATTCTCTCTTATTCTCTTTCCTTTTTTAATCATTCCCAACATTCAATTTGCTTTTTTGACGGCCGCTGCACACTGAGGGGATGTTTTCAGAGAACTGTCCACAATGACTCCAAGATCTCCCCCGAGTGGCAATAGCTAACTACGTCCCTATCATTGGCTACGTCTAGACTGGCATGATTTTCCGCAAATGCTTTTAACGGAAAAGCGTCCGTGCCAATCTAGATGCAGTTTTGCACACGAAAGCTCCGGCTGCCATTTTCGTGATCGAGGCTTTTTTGCGCAAAATGATCCCATGTTGTCTACACTGGCCCTCTGCGCAAAAGGGCTTGTGCCCGAGCGGGAGCAGCACAGTATTTCTGCAAGAGCACTGACAATCTTACACGAGATCCTCAGTGCTCTTGCGGAAATTCAAGCGGCCAGTGTAGACAGCTGGCAAGTTTATCCGCAAAAGCAGCTGCCAGTCTAGACACAGCCCTCGTGTATGTCTAGCTGGGATTATTTTTCCACGGTGCATTGCTTTGCACTTAGCCACATTAACATTCATCTGCCATTTTGCTACCTGGTCACCTTGTGTTGGGAGATGCTTTGGAAGGGCTTCACTGTCTGCTTTGGTCTTAACTACCTTGAGCAGGTCTGTGTCATCTGCACACTTTGCCACCTCATTGTTTACCCCTTTCCAGATGATTCATGAGTCTGTTGAACAGGACGGCCCCTGGGCCCCGCTAGTTACCTCTCGCCCGTCTGAAAACTGACCCTTTACTCCTGCCCTTTGTTTCTTGTCTGGTCACCAGTTCTCAGTCCCTGAGAGGCCCTTCCCCGTATCTCCTGGCAGACACCAGGAGCTGGAGATGAGGCCACGCTTCCGGGATGGGTACCATGGGCTCTGTGCCCAGGAAGCAAACCCAAGAGGCCAAACAGAGCCCATGCTGCAGCCTGTTAAGCCTGCTGGCGCGTGTCCAGCAGGGGCACTTGGCCCTAGTGACAGAGACAAGGCCAATAATGCCCTGCGGAAGCGCTGCAAGGCAGCCCCAGAAAAGCAGTTGACTCCAGGTCCACTTCTCAGGGCGAGCGTTACCATGGGCTCTGTGCCCAGGAAGCAAACCCAAGAGGCCAAACAGAGCCCATGCTGCAGCCTGTTAAGCCTGCTGGCGCGTGTCCAGCAGGGGCACTTGGCCCTAGTGACAGAGACAAGGCCAATAATGCCCTGCGGAAGCGCTGCAAGGCAGCCCCAGAAAAGCAGTTGACTCCAGGTCCACTTCTCAGGGCGAGCGTGAGCTGTCCCTGCCGTGGGGGGGGGGACCAGCGTGGGCAGCTGTGGGCTGTGCCAGCCGTGGAACGAGGCGAGCGTGGGCAGCTGTGGGCTGTGCCAGCCGGG